TTTCAACTTCCACAAGCAAATTTCCCAGTTGTACATTTCACAACTGTAAGAAATAAAATAAATTCATAATATACAAGCTGCATGACTTTATAATTAACCCTTTAATTTCTAAGATCTGATGTTTGGCTGTGTAGCAGCGTGATGCGGTTCCAGTCAATACCCACTAATTGACCCTTGCTCACCATAGAGTCTCCTGTAGCTTAGTGGTTAGAGCATCTGACTAGATCACGGAGGGTCGTGGGTTCAAATCCCATCTGGAAAGTCGATTTTTAAAAAATTGTTTATTTCATCTTTACATGCTCACTTTGGAGGCTGGTTGGCTGCATGTGATGCTTTAATGCATGTGATGCTTTAACGTGACAGCATGATGCTGTTAGTGAGCTTCTATGCGCTAGCTGATGTTTGGCTGTGTAGCCGCGTGTTGCAGTTCCAGGCAATATCCACTAATTGACCCTTGCTCACCATAGAGTCTCCTGTAGCTCAGTGGTTAGAGCATCCAACTAGATCACGGAGGGTCGCGGGTTCAAATCCCATCTGGAAACTCGATTTTTAAAAAATTGCTGATTATTATTATAATAAATAAATTCTCCCTTCTAGCTGCTTCACATAATATCCTTGTACATTAGTTACAAGAATTCCCTGTCAGATCAAGATAGTAATTATCTTCTACATGATGAGTTTGAGTATTCTCATTACCTGTTTCCTGGATAATGTATGGATATTATGAGAAGTTACATTTTAATCACTTCTGAGAGCTAAAGGGTTCATATGTAATTACTTTAAAAGCTGTTCTTTGAATATTTTCTTTTCATTTCCTGTTTCTCATTTTGATTTTTAATAAGATATAACACCCTCTTCTGATACTCTTTCGCATTTCTATTTCCTGACACAGATGTAGTGACTTTTTTTTCTGTTATCGTAAAATATACCGTTTGTTCAGGTTGGCACACTTGATCCAGTTGGAGACTTCCGAACTCTTATCAGCTGCAGAGACGAAGATAGGTTTGATGAAGGTACAGACTGTATTATTCTCCTTCCTGTATATGAACCTTTCAACGACTAGGATCTGATTGCAAACTGTTTTCTCACTTGCTCTTACTTTTTCAATGAATTAAACAGAAATCATTGTATTGTCATTTTATCACCTTTTCTTAACACTGCTGAAAATTTAAAAAAAATTGTTCACAGTTCAGAAATTTTAATGTAACCCTCAAACCGCTTCCAAGATCTGATTGTTAGTTCTCCCCTCTAGTTGCTACACATTTCCTTTTTAACTGGTTGCTAGAATTTTGGTGTTAGATCAAGATAACAATTTCTAAGTGATAAGTTTGAGTCTTCTTACTACCTGTATACCAGATGATGTTTGAATATTACAGGGAGAAGTTACAGGTTAACCACTTAATTCTGAGATTTAAAGGGTTGACTGAAAAAAAAAAAAAAAACTAGCTGATTTCTGTTTTTGTGTGCTGTTTGATGCTAACAATAGTGCTTCAGCTACAGATGTATGTTATATTAACATTACTATCACTTGGACAATGATTGTTGATGTTCAAGACAGAAATATATTGGTTATGTTCTTATAAAATTATTGTCTGTTTTTCCAACATTGCAGCTGCCAAACAAATGAGAGAGTGTATTGTACAGCTGGTGTTAGATTCCTTTGGAGATCAGCTTTATTCTAAGGCCCTACAGTGTGTAAATGTTTTGCGAGAAGAAGCTATCAAGGTAAAAGGAGTGCTAAAGAAATCCTGACCAGCAATTTGCATAAAAATTCACCAGTCTTGCACATGCAGTACATGATGGGAATGTTTTTCAAATAACTAAATGGGGTTGGAGCGTCGCTTAATGTTCAAACATTTTCTAAGGGAATTCACCAGTCATCATCATGGTAATGGGCCTCCAAACCAATTTGGACCAATATCAGTGTAACCTTAAAGTCCCCCTTTCCTCTGCCCCATGATAATGCACTATTGTCAGTACAATTTTTGGGCCCAGGTCCAAATTTGATCCTACGGGCCAGCAATCTAGTGCTGACGTGCAGCTTTGGTTAACTCTTATTTACAGCTGTACTTAACACGCAAGTTTATTTGATTTCTTTTAGGCTGGTGAATCTGTGATGTTTAACACATTTCTCCAGGAGTTAAAAGAAAAAATCATCAATAAATTAGGCCATGCATTTTGGCTTCTGATGGTAAAAAGTAAGACTGGAAGTGCTCACTACATAGTAAATAGACAAACTATGTATGATGCACGATCCTCGCAGTAGAGATTATTGTCAGGTTGAGAACACATCATAGAATTAGTTACATTAAATGTTCAGATTCCAATTCTGTGTGCTTTAATGTAGCATAATTATGTAAAAATATTCTCATGGGTAGGACTTTCAGCTCTAATTTTTTTACAATCCTAATTCCACCTCTAGTGTAAACTAGTCCTGAGTACAGCTTTTGCTGTGTTTATTATTTTAATAGAGATTTGGGGCTTACTGATGCCCTTTGCATTTACAATAATGATAATTTCAGTATTTTCTTTAATTTGTTTTATAGAAGAAGTGACCTTAATTAGTCAAAGAGAATCCTCAGATAGTAATGTCACAGACAATCAAGCTAAAGAGGTCAGCTCTTGCAGAGTGTTCAGTGTTATCATGTGCATTACTCTATTCTGTATTCCATATTCTATATTCCATATTCCCTGTTCTGCATTCCACATTCCATATTTCATATTCCATAATTATTCTATATTTCACATTTCATATTCCACATTTCAAATTCCACTTTCCACATTTCAAATTCCACATTTCACATTCTATATTCCATACTCCATATTCTATATTCCACATTCCATATGATATTCCACTTTCCAAATTTTATATTCTACATTTTATATTCCACATTCCATATTCCACATTCTATGTTTATATTCCATATTCCATAGTCCACATTCCATATGATATTCCACATTCCATATTATTTTCATATTCCATACTTTTTCATTTTCCATATTTTTTCATCTTCTATATTCCATATTTCATACCCTAACCAACCAATGGCCCAGTATAAGCTAAGAATTACCATGTTAACCGTCCCTTGATCCTTTGCTTTACTGTGAGCTTCATTATTACCATTGTCACCTCTCATTCTGGGTTATGATTGGTAATATTTACCTCAGTGCTTCAAATCAGCATCACGAGATATTAACTGAAGATTTTTTTTTTTCTGACAGTTTTTAAAAGGTGGAGAACCTAAAAAGGAAGAAGTTCCAGCTGATGATGTTATGGAAGATGATGAGGATCTTGTAAGTTAATACTTATTAGGCTGTTACCTTCACCAAAATGTTACATGGAATCAAAGGATTTTACCAAAATTTATTCGTCATGAAGAACATTGTCTAGCTTAAAATTTATATTTGTATATAAATTATATTTTATAGTTTAACTATAAAATTATATTTTATAGTTTTAAGTTCAAATTCAAATCTTTCAGATACACTCAAAACCTCAATTATATATCGGGACCTGTTGGGACTAAACGAAATAGTCTGGCTAATCAAGGGTCCAGATAATCGAGAATATGAATATAATCAAGGAAGAAATTAAGAAAGCAACATCTGATTGTGAAACAAAACATTTACAAATTGTTTTGAAAAAAAATTTTTGTCAACCTTTTCACTGTCCATTGTGAATAGCCAATAGAGTGTGAAATATCATTTAGAAACAAAGCAATTCTAAGCTGATCAGACCTAATTTGAATGTCCTTCATTAGTTATGATGCCTGCAAGCACTGCTTTTTGCTTTTGCTTTTTGAAAGCGAAACAAATTTGCCTTTACTTTTTCAACGCTGGCTATGGATCTTGATCATGACTAATAGATATTCATGACAAAATTGGGACCAGCGAAAAAGTCTGGATAGTCAAGACATGTAGATAATCGAGCTCTGGATAATTGAGGTTTGACTGTACACATGTATCAAGGGAAAAATTATGTGGAAACAACTCAGCTGGAAACATAATTATTAGGAAAGTCTAGCTATAGCAATGTTAGGGGGATTCTATTAAAATTGCCCCCTACCAAGAACTGACTTGTTTATCTTTGTCTCTGGTTGTGTTCTTATAGCTTGAGATGATGGAATGAGATTGATGAAGAAGGAGATTATGATGAGGAGCAGTTGCCTTTGAAAGAAGCAATAATTCAAATCTCACATAATTATTTGTACAAACAATGTTTAGGAAGGGTTTATGGCCAAAGGACAAAAAACAGCTGGAAAGTGTTTTCATCAGTATGATTGGGTGTGTATACACTCGACCAGTTTCTTCTCAAACAAAGAACAGCCATTATGCAAGGAAGAACAGCTTTTTCTGCCAATATTGTCAAGAATACCTTCTGGTTGTGCATATTTAGAGGCTGGACAGCGGTCATTTCATAAAAGGAAGACCTCTGGCTGTACATGTTGTTAATAATTAAAGTTAGGTGACACTTTACAGCTGAAAGCAAATAAAAAAGATTTACATAAAATATGATGAAAGAAGTATAATTATTGAAAAACCTTACGTACCTTTCAGGTGGATTGAAGTGTCCTTATAGGTTGTTACATAAATCTTTTTGAATGGTCAACTTTAAGTCCCATGATGCATTCTATGTAGTTGTAACAACTTACAATTGCAAGTTAACAGTTTTGTTTTGTTTCTCACTTTGTTTTCCCATTAAAACACTTGCCTGAGTAAATTTTAAAACTACAACCACCACATTGCAGACTTTCAGCAGTTTTTATTGCCAGGTCTTATCCCTGGATAAATAGGCTCAAGAAGATGGTTTTAACCTTTTACTAAGAAAGCACAAGGGCTTTTGACCAGGTAATTACTTGGCTGTACCAAAAGGGCACAGATATCTTATTACACACTGGAATATTTTACATCTGAAGCAACCGACAACTGAAGCAGAAGCTAGATAATCTTTTTCTCATGATTCTCTTTCTTAACTTACAATTAGTTAATTTAATGACATTTTAAAGTTCCTCGTGTGATCCTGTGTCGTCATATAAATCGTTTCCTTCTTCCTCTTTAACAACTGGCCCGTGAGGAGGATCAATTAAACGGGCTACTTTTTTCAAATTTTCTCGTGAAATGCCTAATATGTCCTGTTTTGTCAAGAATCCTTTACCCTCTGTATCCAAAAGTTGATGAAAAATTTTAAAAGGTTCTTCACTTAGTTTATCTTTATCATGGTCACCGTCCCTATCTTCTTGCTGCTGCCACAGATCAAGAAATGAATATTTTGTCAAAACATCTTCATTTTTTTCCATCATGGTAGCTAGTATGCTATAACGAAGGACCTCCACATTCATGTAGCCCATTTCAATAAGCCTGTCTCCCTTGTTATATGTCCAGTGTACTTTCAACTCACTTAATGGTGTGTATTCAAAATGTTCCCTGTCACAACCTGTGGGTTCAAAAGGTGCCCCCACCAGGGGTCCTGGTGTGAAGAGAATTGTTGCGGAGATGGTTCTGTTATATGACCGCACTTGGTGTATATATTCTACAAGGAAAAATAAAATGAAAGTATATGAGCAACATTATCCTGGGAATAAGATTTTAAATGATTGTACATTAATGAGGTGCAGATCCAGGATTTTTCTTTACTTGAGAACAGTAAAAACTCATTAAAAAAAAAAAATTAAAAACAAAAACTGAAAGGTTAATCTTTATCAGGATGGTGTAGATTACTGAGTCCTGTGGTACATTTAAAAAAAAAATTGTTGTAATCTTTCAATTAATGATGAGTTCTTCTATATGTAATTGGATGCTGCATATATTCCAAGGGTGCTGTTTTTTGGTAATTTTATATAATACACATTGGTTTAAGGGAGACCTATTGTGGAGTTAAAACAGTACTCCAGGAAAGAGATAGGTAACATTTGCCCTCTGAGACCCAAGCTCGTTGCTTTACCTGCTGGAATGTAGATACAGTCCCCTGGTAAGAGTGTTGCATACGTCCATGGAACATTTGCCACACTAGGATTTTCAAACAAGTTGATCTTGTTTGGATCAACTTCTGAAAACCCAGAACCTGAATGTTGATTCTGACAAATAGAGAAAAGAAGTTTGAGTTTATGGTGGAAAATTTTAGAAGTAAAAAATTAAAACAAGTGAGATTTTATAGATTTATGAGACTTATTAAGGAACACCCTGGTATAATATTTGTAATATTACATTTCTGTGGTTTAAATTTATGAATTTAATAAATTTATCCTTCCAGCATTTATTATCACCAGCTTGGCTCAAATTTAATTTTTTGCCCAATCATAGGTTTCAATCCTATTTAACTCTGATTATGTCAGATGTAGTCTTTTCATAGCTACAGTATAGACGGTAAGTTAGGCATGCATACATATCAAGGAAGACAGGTGGATTGACATAAGCCACATGAACATAGAATGAGGTACATTGTCACAACATCCTGTCAACCTTGAACCCATATTGGTTGGAATTTAACCTACTTTACATCACTCCAAGCCTCTCTTTCAAAGTGTGGCCTGCAGTGCTATGTAATATAAAGAGGATGGGTAGGAATTTAATGTGTAGGGGAAAGAATGAAGGAAACAGTGAGCTAGAGATTCCTGATCCGTTCCAATTCCTGACCTGAGTGAATGCACAGCCTGCAGAGCAGGCGTAATTTTGGCAAACAGATGCTCAATATTTTCTAAGCAAAAATTATGGCCATCATCTTTGATATTAATGGAAGCAGAGGGCCGGGGAGAGAAAGAAATTTGTACCAAGGGGGTGTATGACAGAGAAAAATTATGAGGGGGTGAGGGTGGGGGAGTGAATAGTACTTTTTTTCCCCTTCCCACCCCTCGTCGATTTTAACTCCAAATTATACATGGCCGGTTGATTAAATGATCGCGCGCTTCTTAACATCAACTCGCCCTAAAGAGACGCCTGCGCTGCAAGCTATCTGTACTAATTGCCTTTTGTTTTTATCAACATTTACCTTCTCAAGGAAGTACAAGTCTGTATAATATTTTTTCTCCATCATAATAAAATCCTTGCGTCCAGCCACCAAGCAGTGCAAGTTGTGATCTGCATCGTAATGAATGACTGATCGTGTTCCTCCTGAACTCATCCAGAAATTGGTTTCATGGATGTAATCAAGAAAAGTGCCGCAAAGTAAACAGGTTGGTACCTGAGTCCAAGGAATTTCAAGCAAAATATAAGCTCACAACAACAGGTTCCCAATGGGAGAGAGAGGACCTTGCTGCTATTCTGAACTGAGAAGATATCAAGTTGTGAACAGGTGTATAATCAAGTGGGAAGCAATGAGCTACGCTGTTAGCCGGAAGCAGGAAGAGATAATCTTGAGTTACAAATATGAGCCCAAATTCTCAGAATTTAGCAGGAAGTGTGTAGCAGCGGGAGAATCGCTACGCGTAGCTGGTAATTTCACGAGTTACAATAACCTCACTGGACCGATCAATTCAACTAATAAATGAACAGGTAACTTGAAGTAGTTGCTCTGAAATCTTATGTACTTCACTTCCGATAAAATATAAATTTTCAGATTTGATCGACCCCGTTTAGAGCATTCAAATGTCTTTACTTGACTACCAGCGGGGGTGAGAGAAAACAATACGTTATTAAGAACCTGAAAACTTTTGTAAACCCAACATTTTTGTTTACCTCTACTTCTGCTTGGTTACGTACTACGTTACCTGAATATCTCGTCTCATCGGATCAGGCAAAACTGTGACAATATACATGTCTTCCTCCTTATACCGCGAGAGAAATTCCGAAATAGTCATCCTTCGAGGAGAATGAGAGCGGTTCTCTTGTTTTAATTCAATGAGGACATCTAGATCTCCATAATTTTCCTTTAAATAATCATCCGTCCACGTAAATAAAGCGGGTGATTCGCCGATTCCCTGTCGAAACACCAATGGAATGCCTTTATTAACATGTTTCTCCCAAAACAGATCACCTCGAAGAACGTCAAAATACTCTTTAACGGGTCCATCAGGAGCACGCTGGTACCCCAATGGTTGTAGATGTCCCGTAGGAAACTGTTCATTTTGAGAGATGCTAATGGAAGGAGGAAATTCCATCAGCGAAGGAACACCACTTGAAGTCGAAATTTTCAGGAAAGCGAACGTGACAAAGAAAATTGACATTAACAACTTTCGAATGAGAAAGTTCCTTTTGGAACACAGCATGATATCTGAGGGACTTTAACTACTTTCTTTCTCTTAGCTCAAGTTAATTTAGCACTTGCATCATCTAACACCTACAGAAAGCAGAGGTCTGAGAAGCTGAAAGAAACCTGAGAAGCCTGCATGAGAAGTAAAACAATAAACATGATATTTTTCATGAAGCCCCAATATTGGAGCTTAACCCAGATTCCTCTCGGTTTCGTCACGCAATCTTGTTGAAATAATCACGCGACAGCGCTCGCCGCTAGCTATCCTTCTGCATTGTGTCATTTGCGTGCGAGGACCTTGTTATACAATTTGCGGCGCCATGCAATCTTCTTCGATCAAAGTAAATCCAGATTTAACCAGGGAACGAGAGAAAGCCTCATTCGATCCAACCGAGTTAATGTATCTTCTTCACGGAGGACAACAGAAGACTGAACGGAAACAATTCCTGGGTAATTCCAAATAACACGTAATGTTCCTCAATCTGTGGATGGATCTTGAGATTTAATAAGAGATATGGCGAAACTTCATCAAAAAATCTCCAAGTGATACAATCGAGCACCCAGGCATACTCTTTATAACAATTTCACTCCACTCAGTGGAAATACCATTGCAAATTAAGTTTATCTTAAAAATGGTGACAGATTATGTAATAAGGACTACAGAGTTGTAATATTCTCTGTAAGAGGGAATTCATGTACATCTTTGGTAAGGTTATCATTATCTTTTGTTTTGTATTGCATTAAAGAGTCATTGTTAGTGAAGGATCCTGTATTTGACAAAGAAGATGCATACATCCTGAATCGCAAACATGGCTATGAAAGGGCTTTACAGAGAGGACTACGGGTGCTTGAACTGTGTAAGGAACATCAAATCAATGATCCAGATGAAATTATCTTATTACAAAGGTGTGCATTTTCCTTGCAATTTTCATTTTGTTCCTCTTCAATTGATTCACTTCACCCATGATAATAATAATGATAATAATAATAATAATGATAATAATAATGATAATAATAATAATAATGATAATAATAATAGTGATAATAATGATAATAACAATAATGATAATTATAATAATGATAATAATGATAATAACAACAATAATTCAAACATATTCATACAGGATTGCTGAATCAGTTTTATGAAAAACTGCTATCAATGCAGGTCCTGTTATAAAATAATAATAATAATATTAAAAAAGATATGGATAAAAACAGATTGCAACAATATGAAATAGTTACATTAAAAAGAATATTTGAACAGTTATAAGTTCTAAGGATTATTGAACATTTTCGATTACATTAAAAGGAAGATTTAAACAGTTAAATTCTAAGAATTATTGAAATTTGTTGAATTTTTAAATTTTAGCCAATGAGATTGTCCTTGACAGTAATACAACTCAGTGAATTAACATACATGCCCGTTTGGGCTCATTTTCTGTCTAATCCTGTAAACCTTTATGTTATATTAATTTTCAGTGTACAGTGCTGTTGATTTTTTTGTTGTAAATAGTGCTGTATAAGCAATAAATTTATTTATAAATTTATGATTTCTTCCCTTTAGGTTTGCTGGGACCATATTTCCATTCCACTTGAGCAAAGTTATGTTTATTCCCACTTTAAAGGTATACCTGGGCTTTTATATAAATATATATATATATAAAATATCTGTGAAGGTGTAATCTGATCGTCCGGGTGAGTGTAGTCCTGAGAAGGACTGTTGTCGGTGGCAGTGACTGACGTTTCGACAACCTGTGCGGAAGTCATCATCAGAGTCAAAATATCTGTTAAATTCTTTCTAACTTGTAATCTCCATTTGCAGGTGAGCTATCTCTAATATTGCATCTCCATTTCCAAATCAGACTTGATAATTTCTTTCCCTTAAAAGAAAAATTGATGAAAACTGAAAAATAATGTAAATTGTCATTAAAATTTTATTGGAGCAGTAGTGCAGATATCTTACCTATACAAGACATAGCAGCCAGGTTGATCAATCAAGCTGGTAACTCAATGATATTTGAATATATGACAATCATGTATGTGTACTGCAGTCTCATGAAATGTATAATTTAAGCGATCCTTGAAACACTCAAACCTACGTATGTAGTAGTGGAAATAATGCCTGAAAAAAATTTCAGCCCTGTACAGGATTTGAACCCAAGGCCTTTGTGATACCTGTGCAGTGCTCAACCAATTCAGCTAACAAACCAACTGGGAGCTGGTCATTATGTTGGTTCCTATTAAACCTGTTGAAGTGACATAATTCAATGAATTTTGAATATATGGAAATCATATATGTGTTCTGTGGTTTCATGAAATGTATGAAAGTGATTTTTGGACTAATGAACCCTACTTAATATGTAGTAAAGGAAATAAGGCCTGAAAAATTTCAGGCCCATACAGGATTTGAACCCATGACCTCTACAATACCGGTGGTAATAATCTCAGTTGTTTCTTGCTAAGGAAACTGGGATATAAGCTCTGTTGAGTGGTAGCCTACCTGTAGCTGCACTCTCCCCGTGGAGAAACATTTCTCCATGGGGTGAGGCTAGCTAGGTGGGCCACTAAGCTCAAGTTCAGACTTTGCCTTTTTGCAAACTCATAGCAGAAGCTCAAGACACAACATTCAGTAGTCCATTGACCCAATTGACAAAGAGCCCTTCATTTGCCTTATCACAGATAATCATGCAATGTTAATGATTTGCAATGTAATGTCTTAGGGCCAAGGAACTGAGGAACAAAAAGCCAAGTGGCTACCTCTGGCAGAATCAAATCAGATCATTGCAACTTATGCACAGACTGAACTTGGTCATGGTGAACAAACAACATTTTTTACTTCCTTGATAACACTTTTATTTAACCCTTTCACTCCATAAGTGACCAAGACAGAATTTCTCCTTACTATATAGATACAATATCAAGCAGACAAGTGATGAGAATGAAGAAAAATATCAATTAGGGGATAATTAGTCGATCCAATACCAAATTCTCAAAACTATAACATCATAAGAATTCTAGGGCAGACAGTAAGGAGATTTACAACTGAGATCTCGGCTGAGGGCACTTAGGAAAAGGGTGTGGGGCTTATTTAAGAGGGCCTCTTGTCACACATAATGATGCCAGTTTAGTTCAAGAGAATTGATCAATATAATGAATTGAGTTTTCAGTGAATTTGTACTGTTTGATAAAGTGAGGGAAAGAGAAGGCGTGTATATGTAGTCTTAGTTCACCTGTTGACGGAGGGGGGGGGGGAAGGTACTGTGAGCACTTATGGAGAGGAGAATACTTATTCAGGATTTTTGTAAAGAAATGTCCATTTAATCGCAGACAGGGGGACTGTGTAAAGTAACAGAGGAATTATTAAATAAATGTTTCCATGAAATGTTTCATATCTTTTTATAGGGACTTTTATTCGTGGGTTGGAGACTACGGCAACATATGATAAAAACACGCAAGAGTTTGTTATTCACTCACCATCACTATCTGCATGCAAATGGTGGCCTGGAATGTGTATGTCTTCTAGCATGATTATTACCGTATTTATTGGCCTATAAGGCAAGGGATTTTTTGCACAAAAATAAACTGGGAACTGGCTATTGTAAACATTAATAAGACTGGAGTGTTTTGGCCTATAATTGAGTATTTCCAACCAAAAAAATCCATGCCGTAAATTGACTGTATATTTGGCTTTTGGCCGTGCGACCATCAACAAACATGAATTATACTTAGTCTAGTCTTATGCAAAATCATTGTCAGTCAGTGACTTTTATTTCAGTGATGGCTCCTAAATGATCTGTTTTGTTTAGTGATAATTTCAAGAATGAAGTGTTTACTCGTCCTCTTCTTCACTGTTGATCTCAAACTCGTCATATCAAGTGAAAGTTGAAACTGAATACAAACTTGCAGTTGTCCAGAGCAATGTGTGGGCTAGAGACTTTCAATTTGCATAAAATATTGTACTGTACACTACCTACTCTAGGGAGGTGTGAAAAAACGTCACTTGGATGGTAAAATAAATTACCTCTCAGTTCTATCTTCATTTACATGTATATGCAAAATTAGATTGCAATAACTGTGGATAATTTTTCTAAACTGGTTCTGATCCTTAACATTCAGTGGGAAAGTCTTGTAATTTTGCCGTCACAGCAGCAAGACTGATGGTAGATGAAAAGGATCATGGGATACAGATGTTTATTGTTCAGTTGCGTGATCTGGATACCCACCAACCTTTGCCTGGTGTGTTTTATGAATGTATACGGAATATTATAATAATAATAATTTCTTGACTTATATTTTGCAACCATCAATATAAGAATTTTCAATTGCACATTACAATTAAATGTTAAAAATTCAACTCTACATAGATACTAAAAACTGAAAATAAAATTGTTCACTAAGAAGATGTAGAAATATAAAAATTACAGACAAAGAATTGAAAAGCTTTTGCAAATAAGAAGAGTCTTAATGGCTTTCTTAAACTTGTTTTAAAGATTGGGAATATTGCTAGGCAATTAGATGTAGCTACAAGTCATGAGCACTAAAAAATCAACTATTTGTAATATTAGGAAAGCTGTATTAATATCAATTTGGGTTTTATACTTTCCTGTGTTGTCAGTTTGATGCATTTGTTAAACTGTCCTATAGAGCTTGTCTCGACGAAACTGTAGAATGACTGTATGGTGCCCATTGAGTTATTTCGTGTTCTCCAAATATTTCCCACTTAAGGAGGCCTTGAGCGGCTTTATATTTTTATGTTGCTTCCTTGTCTCGTTTCTTAGGTATAACAGTTGGAGACATTGGAGCCAAATTCTCTACTTTGATGAATGCATCAGACAATGGATTTCTCAAGTTTGATCATGTTCGGATTCCTCTAAACCAGATGCTTATGGGACTAGCAAAGGTATGGAGCAACTTTAATCATAGTGTCAAGATCAGTTACTGGGAATTGCAGAGGTTTTGCTTTACTTTGCCAGCGACTTGCTGGTAATAAGAACTCGGATTCCACGAGTGTTTGGTCACTTATTTTTTCAGGGACGCTGATGGGCTGCATCCCTAGAAGTTTGATCATATCCACACATCGGTGATTTCATCACCCAATTGTAAACGGCTAATAATTCTTTTCCACTCTTTTCCATGCACAGCTCTCACCTGATGGCACCTTAACGAAGGTGGGAAACTCGAAGCTTTTGTACGGCTCTATGAGTTATGTGCGAGCAACAATTGTTACGGATTCTTTTTGGTTGCTCTCCCAAGCAATCACCATTGCTATGCGTTACAGTGTAGTGCGACGGCAAGGTCAACTCAAGGCAGAGTAAGTTGTAAGAAATGGACTGTGTACGGTAAGAAATTACATGATACAAGAGACACCTGGCTAGAGAGAAAAATGCGCGGTGAGACGTCTCAAACAACAACAACAAAGTTGAAGGAAGTTATTCTGTGTTGGATGTCTCAGAGCGCTTGTTTGCTCACAGCAAGGTTTGCCTAGCCCTTCGCTCTGACGAAGGGCTGAGGCTCGAAACCTCAGCTTTAAAAAACTCATTTTGACGGACAATTTGATAAACCAAACTATAGTCTTTTAAAGAAGTTTTAATATTACTGAGAGTGGAAATCCAAAAGATAGTTACTTTGAACTTATAGCGGAGCTCGCAGCGCTCGAAGCGCCCATACTTATAGTAAATGGTAGTAAAAACAGAAACCCATCAAGTAGAAAGTCTTAACTGCATTTTGAACATGTTGTCTTCTGTTTAACAGTGAGTCTGAGACCCAGATTATCGACTACAAGACACAGCAATATAAATTGTTACCAGGTTTAGCTATGGCTTACGCAACAAAGTTTGCGTTAGACCATGTGTGGAGATTTTATGAACACTGCCAAAGGAATTTTGTGGCTGGAGACTTCTCTCTGTTACCAGAGGTATGAAAAGTATTAACAATGCACCTTAACCTGTTGCTCAGTGTTTGACAACCGCACCAAGTATATTTTCATTATCAGCATGATTATTAAATTTGCAGCGAACAGAAGTAACTGTACGTGGTTTTCCACTTGCGAGGTTGTTGAAATATAATTAAGCTTAGAGCCCGATAAAAATTTAAAGGCCGGCATCAACCGCTGTAATACTGTTTGTGCCATCTATGCTCATCATAACAGCCAAAGTAAAGTGCACTCTCTGATTGGTCAATTCGGCGTTCACCATTTGCCCATGGGTGTACGCTGCTGACGCGAGCAAAGACGAATTTCCGCGCGCTTGGTTTTACTGGTCGCGTAAGATTACAGTTTTGATTAAAGGGAAGTCATGTTACAAAACAAATTTTAAACACCACAGCGCACACTATTGAGTTATGCATGCACTAGGGAGGTTTGTTAAGCTCTTAAGAAGCTAGAGTCGCGCTGGGCTATCGCCTTGCGCGACTCTTGCGCTTCTTTCGTTCTTAGTAAGTAAGTAAGTAAGTAAGTAAGTAAAGGCTTTATTTAATGAGGGTAGCACTAAAATAGTAAAGAATACTAATAAACCAGTGGCCCTCCTAGCACTAAAAATACAATAAAAATATTAGAGATATGGTAGTAACCTTCCGCGTGTATCCATAACTCCATGGTGTGCGCGATGTCGTTAACCATTTGTTAAATTTTTTTGTAGCTTCACGCAATCACGAGTGGTCTGAAAGCGTTCACATCCTCAACAGCCATGCGTCATGCAGAGACGTGCCGACTGGCTTGTGGTGGACATGGCTACTTACTGTACAGCGGTCTTCCTGATTTTTATGCATTGATAAATGCTTCCTGCACGTACGAGGGAGATAATGACGTTCTCTACTTGCAAGTCGCAAGGTGACCTAAAAAAGTGTGCTTCCTTATGTTATCGGTGAGCGGGCATTCAGCTTTCGCCAGCCGTACTTAAAAGTATCATTTTGATTCACCTGTCAACAGGTATCTGGTAAAAATCGCCTCACAAGCTCAAGAAGGGAAGACTCTTCCTGCCCCACTTAAATTCTTTTCACGGAAATGTGAACAGTGTCCAGTTATGAACGGAGAGGGATTTTTGGAACCTGAAGTGCAAAGAACAATTTATCAGGACAGAACGGCAAGGTACGTTGGCTTGAGAACAAGGGACTTGGAAACCGAGAGGGTTCTTAAGTAGTGTCCATACCCTTTTCAACCAAACCTGAGTATGCATATTCTCTATAGTGTTCTCCACACATTTCCTGAGGTTATTACAAGGAGAATTTAACAGTCAAGAGCTTAATGTTTGCTTTAGGGGTGATATTATAAAGAGAAATTATACGCTAGTCACTTACTTAGGGGTCGAGGAGTTGACGTCGTTCCTTTAGCGACTACGTGTGTCGGAGACTGGGCCCGAACTTTAGTTGAGTTGAAAGAGGGTAATTTTCTAAAGAAACTGTGGTGTTGCGTCGGTGGGGGTAACAAAGGTAATTTGGTTCTATCAACTAAGTTCAAATTGTAAATTGGTCACCGTAAAGAGTTGAAAAGCTGACGTTTCGAGCGTAAGGCTCTGACGAAGAGCTAATGCTCGCAACATCAGCTTTTCAACTCTTTCGTTTAGTTTGATTCAGTTGACACTGTACGTGAGTGTAGTGATGAATGTCGCTTTTCATAGAGAAGGTGTGAGAGAATGAAACGAAAAGGTTGTGTTTATCGAAAGAAAACGCGAGATTGTGACCTCGGGATACAAAACTTTCACTGCCGCAGAGGCATTCCCGAAACGTGTTGGGAATGTGAGGCAAAGGAATGAAACCAAACAGAATTAACGTCGGTAAAATAATTTTTAAGTTTAGGACATGCTTTGTTTGGTTTGTCTAATAAACTGTAATTCGATCCAAAACCTGAGATTTGAGCACCAGTTTATCGGCCCTCTTTTTTGATGGCGTGGAATTTCTCGCCTTTTCCCAACAATTTTTCATTCTGCATTTGCATTGGAGGAACAAGTGTGGCCTTGACTTGAAACTGAACTGCTTTAAGCGAAAAATGATTTCTCACTTTTATCGGGAAATTTCTCTTCTTCTTGAATTTAAGTGAACTACGAACTGTAGCAGGAACACTGCAAAGGAGAATACTTTCTGGAATGGATCCTGCCGGTGCGTGGAATGACCTGTCTGTAGACTTAGTGCGTTGTGCGAAGGTAAAAATTTCAGTTCAGTTGCTGTCATTCAGTTGTCTGTCTTCTAACATCATCTTTGTTTCGGGTAGTCACCTCAGCCTTCATTTGTCTCCTCACGCAACGCACCCACTCCCCCTTCCGGGGGGAAGAGAGCGCGTTGCGTGACGAGACCAAACCACGGCTGAGGCTGAGAAGACCATATCTTAAGCTGAGACGGATTCAGTAGCAGTGGCAAACCTTCTATCAGGGCTCAGTTGTTCAAGAGGTGGGTGACGCTATTCAGCGGACAAATCGCTATCCAGCGAATAAATCGCTATCCTGTGAATAAATCGCTTTCCAGCGGAAAAGTGGTAACAAAACGAACTACGCTATCCACCGGATAGAGATTTATCCACCCTTCGAACAACCGGGGGCAGATCGAGAAGTCTGGGTCACTGTTGGGCAAGAGACTTAACTCTCGTGGTTGCTTCCTCCACTTCGGAGAATATATGGGTACCAGAATTGCTGGAAGGGAGGGGAGGCTGGTGGCAGTGGGAGGGGTAGGCTCTTCTGAGTCACCGTAGACTGATTTGGTTTATTCCTCGTTCTTTTCATAGGGCTACAGTAACTGTGTATTTGTTTGCTATGTATTGGATTCAATGAAGAACCTTTCTGGTGTCAGCCCTAGTTCACGTAGGGTTCTAAAATCTCTATCAGACTTATTTGTTCTATGGGGTATTACTGAAAACTCGGGTAGTTTTCTTGAGGTAAGGAAAGAAACATTTCTTTATTCGTCGCATACATCTTAAGGTCAAATTTTAGCGTTAGTTATGTGGTCTTGAAAACCAGGAGAGCATGATATTTTTACTTTGCCCAAAGAGTAGTAGCTTTAAATCATTGGCACTAAAAGTACATCTGGAATATTTACTGTGTAACGTCCACTCACAAGAGAGATCTGGAGACGCAAGAAAACCATGAAACCAAACTGCATGTGTGTCCCCATTTATATCAGTTTAACAGCCGCTCGGCAACGGTACATTTTACTGAAATTGCAAGTCTTCATTTTCAAAGAAACCCAAAGATCTTCTCCCATTTTGCCTTAAGGCTGGAATTCTGAGCTGCAGCCAAATTCAAACCATTCGACAGCAAGTTTATGCATTAATGGAAAAGCTCAGGTCTGTTTTACAGATACTTTATTACGTTATGTACTTTTAGCCTGTACTAGACATTTGTGCGATCTTGTTCGAAATGTTGTTTTCACTGTTTGGCTCTTTTTTCACCATTTTGCTTTTCGCTTCAAGAAGTGTTTACTGAACAAGAAAAGTAAAACTTTTACTTTTCCCTTCGTCTCAATAATTTAATTTCAAGTATTCAGTACGACTGCGTTCTCATTTTGTTTTCTTAACGTGTAGACCTGAAGCAGTAGCTCTGGTGGACGCGTTCGATCACTCAGATTACGTACTCAACTCACCGCTGGGTCGCTTCGATGGCAACGTGTACGAAGACCTTTTCAGATGGGCTCAAAGATCAGAACTGAATGATAAGGAGGTAGTACTGAGTTGCGGTTTTTAACGCATCAGCTTACTACGTGCTTCTTTTAGAGCAACCGATCTTTTCGTGGTCCTTAGTTGTAACGTTTGTACCTCTTTGTGTTTCTCTGTGTGTTTCCTCTGTGTGTACGATGACCAGCAAATGATGACATCATGTTACGCGTGTCATCTTATTGGCTGAGGGTAAAGCATCTCAGCTAGTGTGTTATTGGTTGTTTATGGTGTGACGTTATTTCTTTCGCTCTTCGCTCCGATAAAATAAAAGGTACAGTCTGATCTTGGTCATGTTAAAAGCGTATAAATGTACCGTTAGCCAAGCTATACATTTGCTTTAATTTTAGCTAGGGCTATTTAGAGCAATTTTCGATCATGTAGTTATCAGGTTTTATCAACTAAGTTGAAATTGTAAATTGGCCACTGTAAAGAGTTAATTTGCTTTAATTTTAGGTAGGGCGATTAAGAGCAATTTTCGATCATGTAGTAATCAGGTTTTTTCAAATAAGTTGAGATTGTAAATTGGCCACTTTAAAGAGTTACAAAGCTGACGTTTCGAGTGTTAGCCTTTCGTCGTTCGCTGAGACGAAGGGCTAACGCTCGAAACATCATGTTTTTAACTCTTTACGGTGGCCAATTAACAATTTCAATCTAGTTGATACACTCAAGTTACCTTGTTACCCCCATCGACGCAGCACCATAGTTTCTTAAGAAACTTACCCACCTTTATGTAATAATCAGCTGTCTTTCCATTCTAGGTACAGCCAGGTTACTACAAGTATCTGCAGCCGTTGATGCGTGGTAGCAAATCCAAACTGTAGTTATATTTTACCAAACTATCTCGCGCACGGCATATATCGTGGTGGAATTCAATCTTTCATGGCTGAGTTGCCGGAGAAACCTTTTGGCCTGTTTTTGTTTTTGCGTAATTCCACAGAAAAGAGTCACAAAGGAAGCATGGCTGTAGATAAATAACTACACGTTCAACGCCACAAAGCAAATGCACATTTAATTTATTTTCCAGATGGACGTCTATTTAGATGTCAAGATTTGTGGAGACGTGTGTGTAATTCGACCGCAATAAGTAATGAATACAAATATCTAAGAACAAAATACAATTACTCCCTGTAGAATATTACCACATTCATTGATTTTTCTGTGTGATTAGAAGTGTGACCAGGTTATTTACCCTTTCCACGGGGTATCGTGCTGCTGCGTTAGATGAGGAATACGTTTCCTCATATTTTTTGGCGTATCTGGTGTAGCACAGGTTCTTTTTGGAGAACCCTTCAGTTTCAGAGCACACATGTTAAGATTGTCATGATCTGGATGCGTTTACTACAAGACTGACTGACTTGTCCTAAATAAACTTTTCACATTGAATGTCTCGTTTGAGTGTAGTCCAGAATTATCTGAATTAAGTCGACAAATAATTTTGAATAATTTGGATATATCAACAAAGTTGAAATGGTAAATTGGTCACCGTAACGATTACAAAAGCTAAGCGTTACTCCCACCGACGCAGCCCCAAACAGTTTCTTTCGAAACTATCAGCCTTTAAATAATTTTAAAATTTTCCATCTTTCCCATTCAAAATATATCCAACATAAATGATGCTCAAACAATAGAAACAGGAAACATTTTGCTTATTCATTGATTACACAGTTATTTTTCTTAGCTTCATCATTGTTATAATTGTTCCTACATCTTCTTTGTACTAATTAGCAGGGAACGTTGAGGAACGCACGTCATTCTCCAAGGAGTAAGGGAATACGCTATAGAAATACAACATTATCGATACTTTAATTGCTCTTGTGCCCTCATAAATTTAAGAAAATTGGGCTCTCAATGACACATTGAAATGAAGTACAAATATAGAGCCAGGAGGCTGATTGAATCGCTGGTAAGTTATCTGGTTACCCTCCAGTTTCAGGGAGAATTGTGTCAGCTACCTTAGACATGAACATATAATACTTTTAAAGCAGGGGTGGTAAAGAGGACGGCTAGTAGTTTTTATTGATTTTAAGCATCGCCTGGTTTACAAAACTACTTAATCTCAGATGATGAATTCCCAGTGTCTGTCTTTTCGATACAGGATAATTTCGTCTTATTAAATTTTATGATAGTTTCAACTCTCTCACTCTAGAATTAGTCATACAAAGGTTCAATTATTTTTTTTTGTTCTCAAGTGATTTTACTCCTATCATTCGACCTATGGTCATGTATGTTTGAAAGCATAATTGGAGCAGCGATGAGAATATTAAGTACCCGTTGATATCGTGTTTTTATTTAAGAATTACCGTTTTAGGTGAGGTGAAAGTGTCGGTAAAGGAGAAAAGCAGTCTTTAAGTATGAAAATCGAACTCAGGTGTCCCATGACAAACTGGTTAGCCAATTAGTTTCGAGAATTTTGTACATGTATTAATCGATCTACATAGCCATGTAGCTAAACAAGATGATATATCCTCAGGATAATGTATATGATTTTAATAGCTTCCAGATACTTTGACATTTTCAAACTAATCATGTTACGACTTCCGCACGCCAAATAGAAGGAAGCGCTAATATGCGAGAGTAAGTTAGAACAAGACGTAGCCTTTTGCAAAAATTAAGCCCAGGAAAAGATTTCATTAAAGAACAATTTTTTTTTAACCTTCGAAAACCAAGGCGAACTACTGTATGATTAACATGGGTATCATACCGTCATGTATGAAAGACCTGGTATCTTTTCTAGTTCTACACTTCAAATTATCAACTACTTAGGATACCAGCTATATCAAAAAATATCCTGGTTAAGTTGCGCGCTAGGAGGTGATTCATTCCGGCATTGGCTTACTTTTATGGTTTTCGTGGTTCTGGTTGAAGATGCTTCTACACAGAGTTCGAATTGCCGTTGCATGCGTTTATCTAAACGAGGCAAGATTCCCTGAGGAAGTGTAAAGTAATCAGTTTTAAATACTCAAAAACATTAGATATTGCAATGAAATAACTTCCTTTAGCCGATTCATATCTCCTACAAGACTAACTTAGGGCTAAATATAAGCGCTAATCTAACTTAGTGCATTCCTTTTATTTCTAATTTTATCATAGCTTTATTTTTACCGCCCAAACGGGAAGATAAACATCGTTTTACTCGTATTCTCTTAAATACAACTTTATTGAAGCTCCAAATTCAAATCTACCCCTTTGTTTGGATACATCCATTAAGTGCATAAATAATGTACATAAATAATGCTGTCATTTAACTCGAAGTGGTTAGGTCTAGATCGGCGACCTCACAGAGGAAAGTTCGACCCCATGTTAAGAGCAGTGGAATGACATGGCATCAACTTGAACTTACCATGATTCTAAGTTTCCTCATTGTGGAAACAAAAAAACTGTCTAATCCTTTGCTTCACTGCTTGTTTCATTTCTCTTATCCTCCAACAATACAAGAATGGGTTTAGAGTCGAATTTGACAACAATAGAGATAAAGTTAGAGCCCAGGCAAAGTTAGACAATGACGTGTTCCATGCACTGATAGAAATAAAACCAACAACGAAACAAAATGGGAGGTAGCATGCAAATAATGTCATTTGAATCCACAGTGCTGAGAACACTGTCTTGTTGTATCGCGCTTTGTTCAGTTGAGTTCCTTCTGTACTCGGTTGTATTTTGTGACCTTGATCCTGCACATGTGCCTGAGAAAGGCGAAGTGTGCGATAAATTTTGGTATAGCAGAAAGTAGAGATCATCATGCATAATAACAACAATGCGCAAGCGATGCCAACAGCAGCACGAAGACTGTAAAAGACTATCGCTGCAATGCAAGTGCTGAAGACCCAAAAAGTAACAACAATGTTCTTTACTCGCCTGTCAGTTACTACCTGGTTGTATCTTAGTTCCAGTAACAGAACAAGAAGTCTGTCCACACTTATTCCGGTGATTGTCAACAGCGATACCGCGCAGAATATTGAGCCGATAGTACTAAAAAGTATTCGGGAGTATTGACAACTCTTTGAGTTCTCTGGAGACATATGGTAACCACTGTGAAGAGGAAATGAAATTAGACCCACGCCCAAATCTGTGCAAGTAAGACAACCGAGTAAAAGTTTCGAGGGTGGACGAAGGCACGACACCTTTCGGAGAGTGACGATGATAAGAAAATTTCCTATAATAGCAACTATGGATAGAGGAAGACTTATAGTTGAAACGAAAATCGTCTGAGCTGCTCCGAGACCTGAGGTGCAGAAAAACTCTGGACTTGTTGTCGTATGATTTCCATCCTTAGTTATATTCGCCATGATTTTATCCATGCGGGCTTATTTTTATATTATTTCGTAATCCAAGCTCTAGTAACACTGTTGGGGTTGTTTTACAGCAATCGGTTTCCATCGCTTCAAATTCTATTCGTCTCTTCTGAAATAAAGAAACCTACCTCTTAATCCATAGGATTGTATCATGAATTAATTGACATATTCTATCCTTGTACCTGGTCAATTGTACGTTCCTGCCCCTGCCATCCCTAGTTTTTAACCGTTTTTTGGTTGATCGTGTTTGAAATCATTATCTGTACCATGGGCGGTGCCTCGCATGGGTCCTCGTGTCCCGTTCGCACCAGTCCTTTTCACCTTTCCTCCTTATCACTTTTAGTGCCTCGCATGGGTCCTCGTGTCCCGTTCGCACCAGCCCTTTTCACCTTTCCTCCTTATCACTTTAAATCACTTTGTACATATCTCCCATTTCTTTCAGGTCGTCTAATTTGCTGTATGTAATATGTGTAATGGTCAATAAAGTTGTTGGAAAAAAAAAAAAAAAAGACTTGTGATGGTGTAACAGTTTCTAGCTACTATTCCTTATAGTGACGACCCAAATTACTGTAAACATTTTCTGAATAAATTTTAAGAACGAATAAATAACAAGTCTCCACTGGAACTTTTGCGGATCTACAGCATCATCAAGGTTGACGAGGGTACTGTGGGTCGCGGTGAGGGCTGAAAGACTTCATCAGTTTAATTCGTTTTTTACCCGCGGAGAAACTATTATACCACTTCAAAGAGCTACTGATGGAGACATGGAACGAGCCCTCGTTTAATCAAATCGCATTAAGTTATGGGGAGGGGATGAGATTTTCGATGGGTGATTTACCCAGAAATGTTCATAAAAGCGGCAGAATCTATGGAACTTCGGAAAATGGCTCAGAACTGTAACAAACCGGTGGCCACTGTTCCCATCGCGTAAGTCAGAGGATTCTAAACTCTTACTTTGGCCAAATATAAGCGTATTACCTAACAGAGTTCGTAAAAGTGCTTCCGTAATTATCAGAGAAGTTTGTCGCATAAAACAGAAACCATATTGAACTTTACAAACACAAACCGACTGTACCTCACTAAAATAACTAACTATAAAACTCCAAATTAATTTTTTTCCGTCCTCAATTTGGGCTTTCTACTTTAACCAGAAAACCGAAGCTTCCATTAACAGGTTAAACATGATTGCAAATGTAGGTTGCACACCTAAATCTCGCGATAGAATCCATTATGAAATAGACATGATACTGACCTACCTCAGTGAGTCGAAATGACTGACGCGCACCAGATACATGACTGAATTCCCTCACATCTGTCAGCCACAAAAGAGTGAAAGATTATTTCATTGGTATGAATATGAAAATTATGTTTTATGAAACTGAATCATCCTCGTCTTTTACTCGTCGAGAAATAACTAGAAAAACGGTTATCAGCCGGTGGCGTCACCTACTACTAACAGAAGGCCGCAAGGTGATATATAGAGAGAAATTTTCCAATTTAAATCGTTCGTAATATTATCCCCGTCTATTATATTGAGCCTCTGAAAGATGTCGCGGGTGCCTTAATGTTCATCGCGTGAAATAGACACCATATGACATCACAAACAAAAAGCAATTTTTTTCTCTCTTGATAACTGAATGTATGACTCCAGCTAAAGATTTCTTTCCCATTCTCAAATTTTGCCTTACGGCTTGACTACAGAAAACTGAGAGTTGCTTTCATTCATACACCCCATGTGTATGTCACAAACAGGCGCAAAACCCACAAAATTCGGGAATTCAACAGAAAATCGAGAAGAAACTGACTTGTAATTCAGCTCATTGAAAACTGACTCGCATTGGAAACATAAAACGGTGCTTCGGTCTTGAGTTCCTTCATCTGTGTAGGTTCAAAAAGAGAGAAAAAAACTATACCGTAAGTATAAACACCAAGGGACAACTAGGACAAGGCCATAAATTCACATGATTGGAAAGAATAAGCACTTTTTTTCAATTTGCATTGTTTGTGTTTTGATGGAGCCGTAATGGAACAAATACCTTTTTAACTTCAGACACTAGTTTATTATTGAATTGGATTTCCCTTTCCGCTTTTACACGAAACTCTTTGAGATATTTTGGTGGCAATGATATTTTGTTACATGCATAAAAGAAAAAATGATAAGCAACAAACTTTCCCTTAAAAAAAAAAAAAAAGGAAGAAATGTCTATTTCCCGTATGTGATTATTAGTTGGACGTTAGAGAAAAACCCAAATGCCAAGCAAGCAGTAGGAGATAATCACATATGGCCTTTACACTGCTTGATTCTTAAAAACATGAAACGAAGTTTTCTCATTTTTTTGCCAATTCTAATTAATGGCCCCATACACTCGAAAAGAAAAATATTTCCAAGGTATCCAGTTCCTTCCATGCAACATCTTCCTCTAACATGTTGTGTGTATTTCGCTGCAAAAAATAACAAGCAGACAATCAAACCAGAGCGAGAATATACCATTCAGCCTTTTCCCACAAAAACCAACACTCCCAGCCTTCTATAGTTCTATTACAAGCCATTAAGAAGCTATTCATGGAAAGCTAATGACATGATAAAAACAATTATAAAATGGGATGTTAGAGTTGGCTTTTTAAAACAACTCTCTGGGTTATGAACTGAGAGTTATGAGTTCCTTTTCATAAATGAACAACGAAAACAAAATTAATTAAGATTTTTTATCTTTTTAGAATTTTTAGCTAATCGAAATTAAATGATAATCACCGAAACAAATTGAACATTTTAGGGTGACCGAGGGAGACTGGACCCGTCAGCTCTACAGCCCTTACGTAACTATGCACAGTAATTTAGTATCTCTGGTTGAACGTATGTGCTCTGTATCATGATGAAGCCATCGTCAAGTAGAATAAATCCCGATTTAGCCCGTGAACGAGGAAAAGCATCTTTTGACACAACGGAACTAACGTACTTGCTTCATGGAGGCCGAGAGAAAACAGAGCGTAAGAAATTCCTAGGTAAGAATATCGAGAGGTAGTTGAAGATCGGCAAATAGTTTCAGATGGCATTCGGATAAATAAACTATGCGAATTCATCCAATCGTGCAATTGGGAAGAATATAGCAAAGGCATCTGTATCGAACGCGATCAAATGCAAGATGCATCGTTCGAAAGGAAATTGACACTTTAGTTCGAGAAATGTCACAAGAACCGAGACCCTTGCATCCATAGTATGTATGTTGGACCTTATACCAGACACTCTCGCGTGACACATAACCTACTGCCTATTCGACATCCAGACTAAGGGCTCGAGATTTTTATCCCGTGATAACTTTGGAATAGGGAGGAATCGAGAGCGGATTTAAGTTTTACTGTTTGGGTGTAAATCCTTTAAGGCTCGTGGTTTTATTGTATGTTGTTTTCAATTGCCCACTGTTCAGTTAGACTACTCTCTGTACTCAATATCTGTCACAGAATAAATGGTGTAGCCAATCAGATTACAGCTTTTGTGGTGGAAGGAAAGTAGATCTAGCTTGTCAAATTACTCTGTCTGCATTCAACTTGATTTTAATCTGCAAAAATAGCTTGAATAAGGGATTTTTGGTAGGTATATTGTATTGTAAGTATTATTGTCAACGGAAACTGGGATGAGGTGCTGTACATTAAGTTTGTTGACTTTTTCAGTTGAATTTACACTAAATTCTATTGTTGCACTAAAATGGTAGCTGGAACTGCTGGGGTGACTTTCCTCTCCTGTGTGGTGACCCTAGGACATGTTTGAACCCTTATACAGGAGGAAGTCAAAATAGGGGATACAATCTGTTTTAAAGTGCGCCTAAATACATTCCTGTGAGGAATGTATGAAGCACGATACCCTCTTGCAAATTTTGTATGTTGCTACATCCTCCTATAACACACTTAGTCGGCATATTTTCAGACAATATCGACTACAACCTTCCCAAACAAGTGAAAATGTGTGAAATGCAGACTTTCATGTTCTCGATTTGATGTCACATTACCCGCTAGAACCATTCCTCTTTAAACTCAGTCGTGAGCCAAGATGGTGGCCAATTTTCCATATTTTGACTGGGCACAGAAAATTGAAGATTTGAACAAATAAAAAATTTTTGCACAGAAACACTCCAAAAAATAGGCTTATTTCGTTAAGCGAAAAAAAATTCTGGGGTTTAGGTGCACTTTAACATTTATGGTTTTTGTTATCAAATTCCATTTATTTTCCCTTAAAGAGTTATTGGTTGAGAAGGATCCTGTGTTTAACAAAGAAGATGCATACATTCTGGACCGCAGGCGTGCTTACGAGAGAGGTTTAGAGAAAGGCTTAAGAATGGTGGAGCTAATAAAAGAACATCAGATAACTGATCCTTATGAACAGCACATTTTAAGAAGGTATAGATTGTGTATTTTAAACAAAGGAGGAAGTCTGACATGACCATCATTGCTTTATAAAAGGCATGAACATTACTGATAAATACTGTTGGCCACAGTCACTTGATATCTGCCACTAATTGATGAGTCCAGTCATGGTTTGTTCCCAAGTGCGGGGTCCTCCTCAATCAGAAGCAGACTTAATGAGCATAATTGCAGGGGTAAACAGAAATCATAAGCAACTTTCAGGCAAACCAAGATAACAGAGCTCTTAGCTGACTAATAATTACAACATACTTTGTTTTTAGCCAAGTCAAATCTTTAGTAACAGATGGGGGCAAAATTTAGCTACTCTTGAATAACAGGATTGTCACCAATTTCAAAACTTTTTGACATGACTGTTTAAAAGAGATCGTGAAAACGCACTGTGTTTCGAAAAGTATTTGAATTCCTTGTGCATAAGTGGCTTAAAAAGTTTGTGACTGCTGTACAAAATTACAATATTGTAAATCATGATGTGATATGTGCAAAATTACTGGGTGTCAACTCTTTCCCCAGGATCACTCAAACCCTGCTGCCATACAATTTGCATAAAGGGATGTTCATTCCTACCTTAAAGGTACTCTCAAATTGTTCATATTTGTTGATAAAAGCACTAATTGTTTCCAAAAATAGATACCTTTCTGAATTAGTTCAATGTTTAGTGTGCGTAGTTCTGTAGCACTCTTAAACATTTTAAGTTCAGAAACTCAGTCAGAAATAGATAAAAATAAAAAAAGGTCAGCTAAGAAACTCAAATGTTTCATTATGTTGCAAAGAGAATAATACAACCTTCTTTCCAATAGACCAAGTATATTTTATCTCAAATTTTTATAGAGCACACCTGTAATGACAGGTGCATTTTCTGTGGAACCTGCTTCATGCATCCCTGGTTAATTGTTAAAAAACCTGGTATGAACAGGGGTGTAACCAGGATTTTTTAAAGGGGGGGTCAAACTGTGTCAAAGAGAGGGTACCCACTAGATTGACATTTGGACCTCCACGCAGTGTTTTATAGTGTGACTAAAAATGCTTACAAAAGGGTGGGGTCACTGGTACCTCAGGACCCCCCCCCCCTGTACCCTAATAGTGCCCCTGATGAGCTGACTGATTAAATGTTAAAAGTACAATCTTTCCTCTGTCAATAAAGGGACAGGGTACTAAAGAACAAAAAGCCAAATGGCTGCCTCTTGCAGAGTCCTTACAGATAATAGGAACATATGCCCAGACTGAAATCGGCCATGGTGAGTATGAACAGCAGTGTTAACCCTTCAACCTCTTAAGGGTGACCAGCATCTAATTTCTCCATACTGCAGTATCACCTCTGAATCACACTAAGGTCACGAGAATAAAGGAAATGATCATTAATTAAAAAAGCTCTTGATTGTTTAACAAATTTTCCTTGTCAGCACCTAAGGAAATGTAGAAAGCACAATATGGAGAATTAATGCATACTGATGTTAGGGTGTAGAGGGTAAGTTACAGTTGACTTATCCACATTTTTCAGTGGACTTCTGTCAGGGCTCCAATAATGAACCAGGGGGGAGTAATGGCACAGTGGTGAGAGCACTCACCTCCCACCACTATGGCCCGAGTTCAACTCCCAGACCTGGTGTCACATGGGTCGAGTTTGTTGTTGATTCTCATCCTTGCTCCAAGGGTTTTTCTCCGTGTCCTTTGGTTTTCCTCCCTCTGCAAAACCCAACATTCCAAATTCCAATTTGACCTAGAGTGGAGTGTTTTTAACATAAGCCACTGGCTGGGAAGATTGGGCAATCGCTTCTTACATTATTTGCCTTTAAATAACTTGTTTATTTTTTTATTTAATTATTATTAATAACCATGCCTGAACAGTTGTCAATGTCTGTATTACAGGAAATATTGAAAGTGTTACTCTTTTGGAAGAGAAACTTAATTGTCTCTATTTTGTACATTTAAAAATAAACCAATACTAGCTGGTACATTTAAAGCTAGCACATTTAAAAATAAACCAATACTAGCTGGCCAATAAGCAACGTAGGGAGACCATTGAGTAATAACTCTCATCACCATTTCCCTTGTTGGCCCAAATAATTGCTAAGTATTTGAAATTTAGTCATTTTGTAAATTATCTTGTGTAAAAATTTTATTTTCAGGAACTTTTGTGCGTGGCTTGGAAACAACAGCAACGTACGATAAGACCACACAGGAGTTTGTTATTCACTCTCCGACTCATTCAGCGTGTAAATGGTGGCCTGGAAATCGTATGTTCGTAATTATGTTGTGAATAGATGCATTTTAAAGATTTGGTAAAAAAAATTACTGCTATTAAAACAATCCACATCTCCCTCAAGTATTGAGCGGGGAGTTTTAGGCGAGAAGAGATTGGGACGAGAGAGGGTTTTTCTCGACGTAGCTTGTTTTCGTTCAATAGCCAGTGCTCCAGTGACCTTACGTAAAAAAAAATGAAGGGAATTTACCCCTGCAGATTTATTAGTGGGGATAAGTTTATCACTTGAACTCTTTACTAATCTGCATCTTATGCTATAATATTAAAATGTTGTCAGTTATGTGTTTGCCTTTTCTCCATGGTCGAATGAGCCGTGTGAAAAAAAAAGAAGAGTAATTTACCCCTGAAGCTTTAAAAGTGCGTATAACAGTATCGCCTAAACTCTGTCCTATATTTATTTTATGCTACCATATTACCATTCTAAAGTATTGATTTAAACGTTTTCTAGTGGGAAAAACTTCTAATTTTGCCACTGTGCCCGCAAGGCTAATTGTCGACGGAACTGATCATGGAATTCAGATGTTTCTTGTTCAGTTACGAGATCTAGAGACTCACCAACCTTTGCCAGGTAAGACATCTTTGCAAGAGAGGAAGCAAAATAAGAAAAGATAAAAATGCACACACACATACACACCACACCCCTCTAAATTTATGACAAAAGGAACCTAGCGGTTTTTTAGCACAAATACACAAGTATGAGATGTAAACGCAATAACAGGAGAACAGCGAATTATTTTTTTCTTTTTCTTGACTGTATTTAGGTTTGTTTTCGCGTCCGGTAGCAAATTCGTTTTTTTACCTGCGTTTGCGTTTGCATTTGCATTTGTATTTGAGCTGTATTTGCGTCGTAACGTTACTATGTTTCAGCCAATGGTGTAGCTCCATTTTTATGCAGATAAAACACCCACAACAGACAATTTCTCCTTTCGCTTTGACGAAGGGCTAATGCTCGAAACGCCAGCTTTTGAAACTCGTTACCGAGGCCAATTTACATTTCCAACGCAGTTGATACCCCCCTCGCCCACTGGCACAGCACCAGAGTTTCTGTAGAAACTCCGACAAATTCTACAATCTGTTTGGTGTAGGATGATTAATCAGGTAACAGCCTTTTTACTTTCCTAAAATATCCAGGCATCACGATAGGAGACATTGGAGCCAAGTTTTCAATGTCTTTCAACGGGAGTGACAATGGATATCTAATGTTTGACCATGTTCGCATTCCACTAGACCAGATGCTGATGGGTCTTGCCAAGGTAACTTGGAATGGGTCACTGTGCTTTCATAGATGACGAAACGTTAGGGGGTGTGGAACTTTTTGTGGCTGCACACAGTTAACGGACATCCGTGTAGCAATTTTCAGAGTGCTCAAAAGCAAGCTTTCTCTTATCACAGTCAAAGGTTTTTTTCTTTTTTTTTTTTTTTTTTTTTTTTTTTTTTTTTGCATGTTTTTAGCTCTTAATTACCAGTATCTGATTGCAAATTCCTCCCTCTAGCTGCTACACATTTCCTTGTACGTTAGTTACGAGAATTTGGTATAACTTGTGCTTGATAATTTTGAGTATTTTCATCACCTTCTTGCTGAATATTGTATAGACGTTATAGGGAGAAGTTACAGGTTAATCGGTGTCCCAGGTCCAGGTCCTCCGCCCTGCCACTCACTGTATTTGATCTCGGTTGCCCCTAATTCAACTCCTCGGCTTCGCTCTGTAATTAGCCCACTAGTCTGCCTCCTGCTAGTTAGCACTTAGTTATTCTACATTGTGGCTGAAAAGCCCCTGAGGGGGAGCTTTAATTTACTTAATTATTGTTGTTGTTGTTATTATTATTATTATTATTATTATTATTATTATTATTATTATTATCACCAATCGACTAACCTTGCAATTTTCTTTGTTCAGTTATTGTGCCTTCCTCTCTAAATCTACTTAGATTTGACTTAGTTAAACTCCACTGTACATATATTACTTTCCTATCATTAACCAACAGTTGTCCCCGGATGGAACCTTCACGAAGCCAGCCAACTCCAAACTGTTGTACGGTACCATGAGTTATACGCGGGTAGCCATCGTTGGCGACTCATTCTGGGGGTTATCACAAGCAATCACCATCGCCACGCGTTACAGTGCTGTGCGACGTCAGGGTCACCTAAAACCAGGGTATGGGCGTATATCGTATTTCCTCGAACAAGCGCCCAGGTGCTTATTTGAAATTTCGGCCAAAAGGGGGGAGGGGGAGGGGGGGGACGGGGAGCTTAATGGAAGGAGGGTACTAAAAGGCCGTTTACACGGCAGAAAAATCGGGTACGGACGTGTCAAAAAAGGAGTACGGACCTCACATTTTTGCCCGTGTAAACAATCCGTACCATGTTTTGGGGGGTGGGTGCGGACCCGTGTTTTTTCTGGTTTGGGAGCCATAGACGTCTATACCCATAACTCAGCATCAAGCGTCGCCATTTTGTTTACAAGAATTACGCATGTTCGATAACAGCACACAGCTGTACCAAATACTGTAGTCCCATGCAAGAAATTGGTCCGGTCCCCCTAAAACTGCAGTATAAACGCAACCTTGCTAACTTGGTCCTTATGCCTCTTTTTGTCTGACCTGTAATAAAACATCGTCCGTGTAAACGGCTAAAATTATGCGGTCCGTACTACTTTTTTGACACGTCCGTTCCCGATTTTTCTGCCGTGTGAACGGCCTTTAAATTAATCAAGGGGGCACTTATTGATTAAGGTCAATAATAGGACAAAAAATCAAAAGAACAGATAACACTCGCAAGGGAACTCTGCAAGCACATGGAAAAAGAAATTACTAGAACGGAAAAGATACTATTCTCCTGCTCTGAATCCGCAGTAACTGAAGCTTAAAAGTAATAAGTGAAGTTACAATACAAACAGAATATGGCGGCGTTTTTTATGGTATAAGCAGATTTTTAGCACACTTGAATCAGATAACTGTTCTGCACAGGCACTTTAGACTCTAAACGATTTTCTAGAGAACTATTTTAAGGCCATCGATACAATGATTTCGGCCACCGACAGCTCAAGACAACTGTACTTTAATTTACGAACAAGTTTGGACCTTTTTTTTTTTTTTTTTTTTTTTTTTTTTTTTTTTTGTTTGTTTTTTTTGACGAAGTGCAGTTCAACCAAGTGTTGGTGAAATACTAGGAAAGACCCAAGTGATTCACCTCAAGTTATTTTTAATCTTTCAATAGTGAACCCGAAGCCCAGATTATCGACTACAAGACACAGCAATACAAACTGTTACCCGGTCTGGCTCTGGCCTATGCCACAAAATTCGCGTTTGATTATGTGTGGAGATCTTTTCAAGAACGTGAAAGGAAAATTGCAGCGGGAGACTTGTCTATGTTGCCAGAGGTACATTAACCCCTTTCATGTTTCTAGTATTGGAACATTGGTTCAAATAGTTCACCTCATGAATAGCATTTTTGTTTTGTTTTTTTTTTTCGTTTGTCATTTGCATCCGTCGCTCATAATGCTCTTAACGATTGTAGCATTTGCGATCGTTGAATATGAGATCTTAAAAAGCCGATGAGAGACGTAGCCCGCCATAGTTGGTTAGAGCTATCTCATTTACGACAAGCGCGAATGGAATGGTAGTTTTACTAAAACTCACCCAAGAACTTACCAAAAACAAAATGCGACGCACATTGCGAAAAAAGGGTGCATTGTTTATGCCGTGAAAATGGTTCATGGTATATGAGTTGAGATACTTTGGGTCGTAAACCACTCAGAATTCATGAATTGCAATATACAAAAGCTAACTCTACCAAACAGAGGATGTCGTGTGGCAATCGTCACGTAGATTTTTTTCCTTTTGCAACAAACTTGGCCTGAGTTTGCCTCGAGTTTATTTTTTCGGCTTTTTTTTTCCTTATTTGCAGAGCCATGCTATCACCAGTGGTCTCAAGGCGTTTTCGACCTCAACAGCCATGCGTCATGCAGAGACGTGCCGACTGGCTTGTGGTGGACATGGCTACTTACTGTACAGCGGTCTTCCCGAGTTGTATACATTGATGAATGCTGCTTGCACTTACGAGGGAGATAATGACGTTCTTTTCCTGCAAGTGGCTAGGTACGCCTGCGCATATTATCGCGTTACCTGATTGGATAGACGGTCGCCTCAAGTTCCGTCGCCTCCAAGTGAAGTTCCGTCGCTCCTAAGTATGGTTGTATCACCCCCAACTTGAAGTTGCGTCGCCCTTAACTTTTGACTTAAGATTTGATAAAAGTTTTAAACGTATTTTGACGGAATTTTAAAATGCTTGGAGGTTCGACGGCCCGAATATCAAAATTCGACGAACGTAATGTTTCGACTGCTTAATAACTTGGCAAAAACATCCCTCCCTCCCCCCCCC